GATCGAGCGCGCGGAAAAGATGATGCGGAAGATGATGGACGAGCAGACGAGTAGTACGAATAATAACGCTCCGGCAGTGGCGGTTATGCCGCCGCCGGCGACGACGACGACGACGAAGACGTCTGCCGCGTTTTCGCCGGCGATTCCGCCGACGCGACCGGCGGTCGTCGAGAAGAAGGACGAGCCCGCGCCCGCGCCCGTCGCGGGCGGCGGGCGACCGGGGCGACGCGCGGTTCCCGTGGAGAGACAGCCGTCGCCGACGCCGTTGGGCGCGGATTTCGATGACTCCAGCGACGAAGAGTTCGCGTTCGCGGACGGAGGAAAAAACGCCGCCCTGGCCCCGGCCCCGGCGCCGGCGACGACGACCGGCCTCGCGGACGCGCTCCTCGCGCCGGTCGCGCGCTCGAACCCGAGACCGAGGCCGTCGCCGATCGACGCGAGCGGCTCGAGTCTCGACGACGACGAGGTGTTAGAGTTTGGGTCGCGGCGCGCGTCGGGCGGCGGCGGGACGGGGTCGTCGTCCGCGGCGGCGTCGACGTCGGCGTCGACGTCGCGGCCGCCGACGCGGGTATCCCCGCGCGCGTCCCCGGCCGCGTCCCCGCGCGCGTCCCCGGCGGCGTCGCCTCGCGCGAAACCCGTCCAAGTGTTCGGCGGCGTGCTCGGGAACGTCCTCGGCGGAGGCGCGCGGAACCGTCAGCCGAGAGGGGGCAACGAAGACGCGCCCGCGGCGTCGGCGTCGACGACGGGCGGCGGCGGCGGCGGCGGCGCGTTCCTCCCGGGCGTCCTCGGCGGCGATTTACCCGGCGCGTCCGCCGATCCCTTCGCCGCGCGGACGGTCTCGACGCCGCGGACGACGCCGCGACGCGCGGCCGCGGACATGACGGGCGCGAACTCGCCGGAGTTATTATCGGAGATCCCGTCGCTCGGCGCCGGCGCCGGCGCGGGCGTCGGATTCGACGACGACGACGACGACGACGACGACGAGTTCGCTTTCGAAGCCGCGGGGGAGGAGCCGGAGCTGGATCCGGAGCCCGCGGCGGCGTCGACGCCGGTCGCGGCGCCGGCAGGTAACGCCGCGGCGAGAACGCCGAGCGCGAGTCCGTTCGCGGGCGCGGCGGCGAGACGGTTCGGGGGCGCGTCGCCGTTTACGAAACGACGCGCGCCGCTCCCCGCGCCCGCGGATCTCGGCGTGATCGACGACGAGGACTTGGAAGACATCGTGATGTGATCGAGTCGCGATCGCGACGCAACGTGCTCTGCGCGACGCGTGATGGCGATGCGATGGGATGTTTGTTGTTCGTGTTACAGATAGTATACTGTGCGTGCGACGCGCGAGTCCGAAACGACGGGGGCGTCCTCCGTCCATCCGTCCGCGTCACCCTCGGAGGAGGTCGCACGTTTCGTTCGCGCGCTCCGGCGGGTTCTTCTTCTTCGCCCTGGGACCCACGACGCCGTCCACCCACGCCTGCGGGTCCGGGAACGTCCCCGCCCGCGCCGCGGCCTCACTCGCGGCCGCCTCCGCCTCCGCCGCGGCGCTCATCGCCGCCATCGCGTCCCCCCGCGCGCACCCCTCGAGACACGACGCTTTGATCGCGGGATCGATGCTCTCCGGCAGAGGCTCCTGACCGAAAAACATCCGGCACGAGCAGTCGTTAAAGTTGGGCTGCATGTACACCGGCGTCCCGAACTCGCTGCGCATGACGTCCTGCGCCGGGAGCTTGCACTGGTTCACGCACACGCTCGCGCATCCGCTCGCCTCGAGGTAGCGACATTTCTTCACGTTGACGACGGTGACTCGCTTCCCGCCTTGACCCGCGAGCGTCTCGCGCGTCGTCGGGCCGAACATCCACTCCGCCGCCTCGCTCGCGACGGTCGCGTTCATCTCCCTCAAGATCTCCGAAGGGACGAGCGCTTGCATCGCGCCGAGCGCGAACGGCGGCATCCCGGACGTTATCTGCTTCCGCATCAGATTTCCAATATCCGATCGAAGCTTCTCCGGCGGCGTCGCGTCGCGCAACATGAGCGCCGCCTCCACGAGCGCGTCGTACGACGTCGGGTCCCCGCGCGGTTTCACGCGCGCGAGCTCGGAGAGCATCCGGACGTTCATCTCGATCGCGAGCTTGTCCGCGGGGGAGTCGACGTACGTCGCCTTCGCCTCCGGGGTGCCGTGCACGGCGGCGGGATAGCGCACGGTGGACTGTCCGAGGAAGGAGTAGCTCATCGTCTCCGCGCGCTGCGTCGATCGCGCGTCGGTCTTGTGCGCGGCCCATCGCGGCGTCGAGTTCGCGCCCGGCTCGGCGGTTCCGCCCGCGCCCGCGCCCCCGCGCGCGTCGTCGTCGCCGTCGTCGCTTCGGAGCGTCCTCGGCAAGGCCCGCGCGTTCTCTTCCTTCCATCGCTTCAGGCGCTCCGGGTTGCTGTTCGGAACGTTCTCCTCCGATCCCTTCGATTCCTTGATGTGCGGGACGATGCGTCGCCGCGGACCGCGGTTCTTCCGTCCGACGCCCTTCGGGCCGTCGTTCTTGAAGTCGCCCAAGCGTTCCTGCCACGTCGGCTCCCTCGGCGGCTCCGGCGGCTGCTGCACGAGTATCGCGCGCGTCGTCGTCGTCGCGCGACGACGTCGACCGGATTTATCCGTCGCCACGTTTTTTTTTTTGGGTTTCGACGACGACGACGACGACGACGCGCGGAGGCCTTCGCCGAGCGCGAACGCGCACGAGCGCGCGTGGAGCGCGGTGGACGCCATCGGATGCGACGCCGCGCGCGATGTCGCGGTCGCGGGCGTTCGCTTCGGGACGTCGCGAGCACCCCGCGGCTGCGTTTGTGAGACGCGCGCGACGCGCGCGATCGAGACGGTTAACGTGAGCCGCGCGAACGCGCCGATCGAAAGATCCACGATCGCGCTCGCGACGACGAGTCACAGACGGTCGAATCGTTCCGACTCCCTTCCCGCGATCTCGATAGATCTCCGCGCGTCCACCGACCGACTTCGAACCGGCGGAAACCAAACGAGGCGAAGTGCCGAAAAACCAAAATGCATTAAATTCAGTTTCGCCCGCGCCCCCGTCGTCCCCGCGCGCGCCCGATGGGGCGGCGCGCCCCCCTCGCCGCGGCGGTCGCGCTCCTCTCCGTCATCTGCGCGACGTCCGCCCAGGAGACGCCGCTCGTGGGCGCGCCGTACGAGGGCCTCTCCGGCGTCGTCGGCGACGTCGAGATCGTCACCGGAGACAACGCGACGTACGTGTTCAACGGGACCCACCGATGCGTGGACTGCGCGAACTACACGCTCCCGAGCTCGTGTTCGAACTGCACGGCCGCGGAGTTCCCCGCGTTCAACGACACGCACTACTGTTTCACGTGCGGTAACCGCGAGCACATCGAGACGTGCGACGGGCCGTGCGCGCGGTACGTCTTCAACGGAACGCACTCGTGCATCGCGTGCTCAAACTACACGGACGCGAGCACGTGCGGGGACTGCCAGGAGATACACACGCTGCAGACGGGCGAGGTGGGCGCGTCGCCGTACGACGCCCCGCCCGGGGAGTACCTGTGCCAGCCGGACATCTTGGAGAAGTCGGACACGTGCGTCGCGGTGGCGTGGAACGACTCGTACGTCGCGCGGCCGCATCCGGTGATCGCGTCTCGCGCGCTCGCGCGCGACGGCAGACGACGCGTCGTCGACGAGGGCGGACACCCGATCACGCTTCCGATGAAGTGGTTCAACGGCGATCGATTAGCGCCGTTGGGGCCGGACGAGCCGGACCTCGAAGGGAGCGACAGGGATTACGTCCTCGCGTTCGAGATGTTCGCGCAGATGCGAAACTGGGCGTTTTTCGACGCCGGGATGATCACGAACGAGATCTGGGATAAGCTCCACGCGCCGCTGGAGGACTGCGGGCTCGAGACCGAGGCGGCCCTGAACGCGTCGTTCTCGTGGGCCACCGGGCGGCAGCTCGGGCGCGTCGGGATTTTGAACATGCTGCGGAGTCCGTGGTGGCACGGCGGCGACATCGCGGATCAGACGCGGCACTACATCGACGCCGCGCAGGCGGATTTTCTGTGCGTCGTCGCGCCCGAGCTCGCGACGGACGCGAAGTACGAGACGTGGTTGTACAGGAACCAGTGCGCGGATATTCGCGCGGCTCTGAACCTCGCGCCCGGGTACTCGCCGCCGTGCTGGTACGGCGCGTACCGGCGGTTCTACGACGACGGCGGACGCGACTACCCCGCGGATTACGACTTTACCATTCAGCAGCCGTGGAGCCAGGGCGGGCACTGGGACGAGCACGCGAAGCGGCGAGGTCTGGGGTACACCCCCGTGGGACACAAGACGCCGCCAGAGGTGACGAACGCGAACGCGGCGACGGAGACTCGACCGCTGGGGGATCACACGCCGACCGGCGACAGAGGAACGACGCAGAGGAACGACGCGACGACGCCGACGCCGACGCCGACGCCGCCGCCGCCGTCCGTCGCGGGCGTCCCCGTGACCGACGCGCTCTCGACGCGGTACCCCTCGATGCCGGCGCGGAGCGCGTACGCGCTGTGGCGCGACGCCACGAGCGCGGACGGCGCGCCGGCGCACGCGAACGACGACGAGCGCATGGAGTACCTGAAGCGCGCGTGCGACGACGTGAAGTACGCGGCTGAGACGTACGCGCTCGGCGGGTCGTGCGTCGTGACGGCGAGTTGGACGGTGGAGGGGTTCGTGGAGGGGGCCGCGCGCGGGGTGTTTTTGATCGCGGAGTGGATGCGTCGGGCGTTTCACAGCGTCGAGTTGGGGGACGGGCCGGTGTTTTTGGACCCGGGGGACGTGCCGTCGTCGACGTTCGCGTGGTCGCCGGACGCCGCGTGAGTAGCGAGACGAAGTGAGTTTGCGACGTAGTACCTAAACCTAGTAGCGGCTCGAGTATTCTCTATTAGCTAGACGATCTCCTCGTCCGTTTTCTTCCTCGCGAGGTCGGCCTCAAACTTCGCCGCGATGTCCAGGTAATCCACGCGGTCCTTCGTCGCCTCCTCCGCCATAAACTCCGCCATGACCTTCTCCATGTGCCTCTGCGACAGCTCGAAACACCCCAACGACGCCGCCGTCTCGCCGTCGTCGTCCGGTATGCCAACCTCCGCGCCCTTCGACAGCAGAAGCGCGCACATCCCCGGGAGCTCGACGACGCACGCGTAGTGCAGCGGCGTCGCGCCGTCGTCGTCGCGCGCGTTGATATTCGCGCCGGCGTCGATGAGCGCCTCCGCGATGTCGATCTTATCGCCGTCCGCGGCGTGGTGCAACGCCGTGCATCCTCGCGCGTCGACGCGGTTCACGACGTCGACGACGCTCTCGTCTTCGTCGGCGTCCGCGGACGCGCGCGCGAACCCGAGCATGAGCTGTACGGAGTCCAGATCGCCGTTCTTGACGTGGCGGATGAGCGGCGACGGCGCGGACGCCGCCGACGCGTCGTCGTCGTCCGCGTCCGGGGCGTCGACGACCGCCGCCGGGCGCGAGAATACCGGTCCGCCGAACCCGCCGTCGTCGGCGTCGTCCTCGGTCCCGCCTCCGCCGCGTTCGTCGCCCGCCGCCTCCTCCTCCTCGCCCAACAGCGCGTCGACGAGCTCGACGTACGCGCCCTTGGCCTCGTCCGAGGGCATGTCCCCGAGCTTCTCCCACGCGCACCACTTGGCGTGTTTCGTCGTCCCGTCCGTCAGCACGCGCGGCTTCGCGCCGACGCATCGCCCGCGCGTCGCCTGCTTGTACAGCGCGTACGCGCGGAGCTTGTCGTCGTTCGGGACGCGCTTGAGGTTCGCGCGGCCGAAGCGATCGGACGCGGCCGCGAACGCGGCGTCGAGGTCCGCGTCGAACGCGGAGAGGAGCGCCGCCTGCGCGCGAGATCTCGCGGTCGCGTACGCGGATCCGAAGGCGGCGTCCGTCTCGCCGCCGCCGTCGCCGCCGTCGCCGCCGTCGCGCGTCGCCGCCTTGGATTTCTCGCGGCGCCGCGCGCGCGAGGACGTGAAGAACCCGATCCCCGCGCCGAGCGCGAGCGCGAGCGCGGCCCCGAGCGGCGGCTTACCCATGGACGCGCCCGGCGGCGGACGCGCGCGCGTGCGATGTTTACAAAAAAATCGTTTCAACTCAAATAAAAATAGCGGCGCCGACAGCCTATCGACGCTGAGGACGACGCTCGCTCGTCATCGTCAGTGCTCGCTCTTCTTCCGGCTCTGCGCCTTGCGCT